TTTAATGGATCAATGGATGGGCCAAGCCCACACATACGCACCTAGCCTAGCCTAGCACTTGCTGACACTGCGAATGCGCGAAATACTATCACAACTAGCATTTTTAGCTAGGAAATTCTATTCTCATGTAAACATCATCCATTGAAAGGAATGGACTCTACATGAAAATCATACTCTATGCTCAATCAAAACCATCCATTTGAATCCAAACTGTTTATTTAAGTTCAAAACCTAATACAATACATCTCATATGAATTGAAAACCCTAGAAATCCCGGTTCAAGTTAATATTGACTAGGATTCTCTTATTGGGCCTAATGGACCAATAAACTCTCAATTTAACTACTTTGGGCTTTAAGTGGACCCACACCCATGAAATTAAGGTATTTTGGGTCATATAGGCCTAGAATGATCCATCTTGTTTTAATGGGCCATGATGGGCCATAACTAATTTCATTAGCCCTAATGGGCCATAAACTCCATTCCTTCACCACCTTTGGGCCATGAACCCTCATAAGGGTCCAATGGGCCGAGAACCATCCATTTGGACCTCATAATATCGAGATCAAGCAAGTAAGACCCAAATTACTTCTCCTTTCTTCCCTTTTCCCTCTTTCTCGGCCCAACAACAAAGAAAAAAAGAGAAACATTAACTAACTAATACCATGATACCTCACTATTATTTAGTGGTAATCCAAGAAGTAACCCACATATCTCTAGGTGTAAACCACCATGTATTAACCATTTTTGGATCTTCTCCCCCTTTCCTCTCTCAACTTACGGCCAAAGATTCCACAAGCCACCCACACTTCTTTCATTCCTCAAACATCAAAAAAATCCTTTAGAGCTCTCAAGAGAAATTTCACCTCCATCCTTCCAAATTTTTCGTGAGTTATAAGTGTGCATCAAGAACACTTCATGAAGAATTCAACCATTTTGGTAAGCTACTCTTACTTAAGGGGTTTAACTTCATGATTTGTTAAAACTTATTACTCATTTGCTCTTCAGACCGTGATATATGCACCATGAAACTCTTAGAACTCTAAGAACTCATCAAGGAAGTAGGCTAGGCCAAAAACAACATCACTTCCTTTCATCTCTTCATCAAAAACCAAATCCAAACCACGATGTGAGTTTACACCCCCATGTTTTCGGTTTTACTATGTTTTGGGGGAGGATAAAAGTTTCTATGTGTTAGATCTATGTATTTATGCATGTTTATGTGTGTTTTCTATGTTATGTGTTGTGATTTTGTGATGAAATTCCATATATCTTGAAAACTATAACAAAAATTTTGTGATATTTGTAAACTAAAACACTTTATACATCATACCATGAAAATGAAAGTTTAAACATGTGAAGATTGTTTGAAAAGCTAAACAAATTCTTGAAAAAGGACCATTTTTTATAAATAAACATAAAGATGAGATTGTTATGGCACTTACGGTTTCAAAAGGACTAAAAGTGTCACATTTATACAAAAATGGGTCTTTATGATATTCTTGGTGTTAAAAGGGTCAAAAATGTAAACTTTTGCAAAATGGGCCTTAATATGGGCTTTACGGTTTTCTTGGGCCTAATTTGTACAAATTTCAATTTTTATGGATTAAACTGTCATTTAACACAAATTTGAGCCAAAATTGAAAATTTACGGTTTAATGGGTTGAAAATGTCACTTTTTTGAAACTGGGCCTAAAATGTTATTTTTACAAAATTTGTGCCCAAAATGTCATTTTTATCAAAAATGGGCTGAAAATGTAAATTCTTATAGTAATGGATCGAAAACATCAAAATATATATTTTTGGGCCAGGAATGTCTATATATATGGGTCGAAAATATCAAATTTTATGATTTTTGGGCTGAAAATATATTTTTTAACCAAAGTGGGCTAAAAATGTCATTTTACTAGAATTAAGCCCTAAATGTAAACCTTTGGTCATAAGGGGGCCCAAAGTGTCAATATTATCAAAATGTGCCTAAAATGTGAACTTTCGGCTTAATGGGCCAAAAATGTCAATATTACTAAAACCAGGTCTTTTACGTTATTTTGGTAAACAAACGAGCAAAAACAAACAACACAACAACAAACAGACTAAATACATCGATTATATGTTTATTGGGCCAAATACTCACATTACATGCCCATTGTGCTTTAGTGGCCCATTTACATGCTTATTGGGCCTAATACTTACCTTACATGTTTATTGGGCCTTAAGGGTCCATTTACATGCTTATTAGGTCCGAAATGTACAACACATGCTTATTGGGCCTTTGTGGCCCATATATATATATATATATATATATATATATATATATATATATATATATATTTATATATATATATATATATATATATATATATATATATATATATATATATATATATATATATATATATATATATACTGTGTTCATGCGAGTATGGTATCATGTTATGTATAATGATTTTTCGAGTATGTTTTATATTTGAAAAGTCCAACGAGTATGTGTGTGAATATACGAGGCCTAACGGACATGTAGGAGGACCACTTAGGATATATATATATATATATATATATATATATATATATATATATATATATATATATATATATATATATATATATATATATATATATATATATATATGGCCTAAGTGATCCTCCTACATGTCTGTTAGGCCTCGTATATTCACACACATACTCGTTGGACTTTTCAAATATAAAACATACTCGAAAAAACATTATACATAACATGATACCATACTCGTGTGAACACAGTTAAGAATCTAGTGAGACATACCGGTTGACACCTTTAGAGTGTACGATCGTAGCTTGTAGTTATAACCAGAGTCTTCTGGAGGAAGAGTGGGAGTTCGTGTATATATCTATATGGGGTGACACCCCACACCTGAGCTGTTTGCTATAATTAGACGAGGCAAGTCTATGGTGACAAACCTTACCTAAATCAAGTTGGCGCCTGAAAGCGCCACGACAGACAAATTCATCATAAATCAAGTATGGTTAAAATGGCTCACTTAGAGATTCTCTCCAACACGATTTTAAGGAACACCTATAAGATCTTGTTCATACAAAAACATACATACACTGATATTTGGTCTTAGGGTTGAGACCGCAACGCTCTTATAAACACAAAATATTGGATTTTCTGGGGAAACACACAGTTAAACAATACTTTTTACTTACAACAGGAAATACAAGATTTTTATTTGGATTGCATATTATTATACAAAAACAGAAAACATACATGCATTAATACTTGGCTTTGACACATCACGTTCAAACTGTTTTTCAGAAAATATCGGATTTCCTGGCGTTTTACGAATAATACAAAACTTTTCATTCAAACATGCTTATGAACTCACCACCATTATTTATGTTGACGCTTTCAAAATTACTTGTATTCTCAGAGAATCATCAAGCGGAAAGGTCTACAAGAACAAGTGCAATTTGTTGAATTTTGTTATCATCATACATTGAATATTTTGGCATGTAATTTATGATACTATACTTGATGTAAACAATGTTGGTTGTATTTTGATATGTATGATGATGGTGTTGTCTTGTTTCAATTATATACATTGTGATGATATCCCAAGTTAAAGTCACTCGAGCCCCAGACGTTTCCGCCGTCTGGTTCGGGGGTGTGACAAATACCAAGTATTCACTTTGTGTTTATCATTTTCCATTGTTGTTGGAAACTTGTTAAATCTACATTAAATCCTAAAGGTTTACTCTTTTTCTTACAGCCGATAGAAGCGAAGTAAAAACCTTTAAGGACAGGATTCGTGTAGTTATTCCACGTTCAAGATCAGTCGTTAACAGGTTGGTTTTAATTTAGTGTCTCAAGTTTACTTTCATCTAATAACATGACACTCTTCTTCTACCTTTCTTATAATCAGATCTAAGTAAGAATGATTAATCTGGTTTCTCGACGAAACTTGATAACCATACTTATAATAATTGGATTTATTATTCGCAACTAATCAACATATAATTCTCAATTTTATTTGTGATTTCATTGTATGTCTATTGATTCTGATTTACAACAACATAATTGTCATATATTAGATATTTATCGAACAAATTTGTCACCAACAGTAGTTGAGATGTTTATTTGCACAAAAGATTAGGTCAAAAAAGCTAACAAACTGATTATAGATGATATACATGACATCTTAAACGATGACTTCATAGCATTTAGTAATTAGTTTCTACTTTTAACGTATTTTTTGTTATATTTTCTACAATTAATAGATATGAAATTAAAATTTAACTTTTGTTTTCTATATAGCGGTTGAACAAGCACTACGTGTTGACTGTGACAAAGGAAAAGCAATGACGAAGACAGATGTTGAATGACTCAATTTAAATATGGTCTTTTTTATGAATTTGCCCTTGAATATTCAACTTGACCATTTTCTCCTGCGGTTCGATTCTAGTACCGAAAACAGGTACCAGTATGATACTACATCTAAATGGGTTTGGTACTTGTGATGGACTTTTGGCCAATTTTGGTATATTATCGAAATCTTGAGTTTCAGTTCCGTTTCATGCTCATCCCTACCATGAAGCGAGCAAAAGTTCTAACTTCCTTATATCACCATGTAGCACAATCAATAATACTCTCTCATAAACGTAAATGGGTATTCCTACTTTAATCTTCAAGTAAATGCAAGAAACAAAGACTGTACAAGAAACAGAGCTAACAGATGCAACAAAAAACATAGCTAAGAAATTTAAAAGTTATAAGTTATATTATTAGTTACCAAAAATAGCTCGACTCTCTTTGCAATTGTTCCTTTTTTTTTGTTTTCTTAATACAAAGCACAAAAATAAAATTCTCTAATTTTTCGTGGATTTGCTGCATAGCCACCTATTTCCAGCCATCCAGCACTTGTAATGATTAAGCAGTAAAATTTTGAAAAGTAGTACGTCCGAACCAATAACAGGTTCCACTATCAAATTAACATTTGTAACACAACAAGAAGCATTTGATTATCATTTTGACACAATAACAATTAACAGGTACTACTATCAAAATTCAAACATAATTGTGATATACAGGAACGACACGAATATAAATTCAAACTTATAAAGAATATTATTTAGATGAGTAAGAACCTGAAACAAAGATTGGATGTCATTAATTTGAATATGAATTGAATTTGGAGTCAGGAGTTGAATTAAATTGTAGGCCTTATAGTTGATGAAATAGATGTTAATGACAATGAGTTTTCCATCATCAGCTTCTATTTTCTTCCTAGTGTGGCTGCAAATAATAAACAATAATAATCAACATGGTAATAATTTTTGGCAAACTTAAATGGGTATTCCTGATTTAATCTTAGTAATATGTTTTCTTGTTTCTATGGTTACTGTTTTACGACTACACTCATCCACAATAAGGCTTGACAGTCCACATGTAGAATACGAGCTCAATTATGCATCTTACTAGCATGTTGGAACAGTTAAACTGGAATGGAATGTGATGTAACTTATAGCCCAATGGGGAAGGACCTGAAACGAATATTGGATGTTAGTAATTTGAATAGGAATTGAATTCGGAATCAGGAGTTGAATGAAATTGTAGGCGTTGGCGATAATGGACAGATGGAAGAACGGAGAGTGAGGACCTCAGCTTTGATAGGCGAAAAGATAGAATTCAAGCTCTACACTTCATTCTTCGAATCCATGGCTTTCTTAGCTTTATGATGCAGATTCCCCCAAATCACCATCGACCCCCAACCCTAATCCACCCTGCTCCCTCTCAACAACAGCTCTAGATTGCCTTGCCGCCTGGGGTTCCGCCGAATAATTGATTGAAACCCTACCATCTTCATAATTATTGACGTCAACTCGCCGATCTTAATACAGTCGGTGCCATCGAGAATTGAAGGAAGGTTAGGCAAAAGCATTTGCCAGTTAAAAATTGTACTGTTAAAAGAATGGAGATCAGTGAGTTTCCATTTTCTCAATTCATCATTGATTTGGATGGTCTGTTTGGTGGAGATGTCGGCGTCTTTGAATCCGATTGCATCATCGCACGCTATTCAACCAATTTTGACGACAGATCCAGGGCAATATTCTAGGCTTTCACCTTCTCTTCGTCCCTTCTCGATTATGAGCATTCCATTGTCCACTATTCCTCTCCAGAAAAAATGTGTATTCACCGGCAAACGCATGTTAGTTATCGTAGCAGCCTGGTCGGAGAAGATGAGTGCAACGTTTCATTTTTATTTTTTTATTTTTTTATTTTCTATTTTTTATATATTTTTTTTTGAACCGGCTAGACATTTTATTAAACCAACATGGCAAGTTGTCACGCCAGAATAACAATTACAAGAGAAAAAAACAGTAAAAGGAGGTTACACAACACCACTTCACCTAGTTTTTATTTTCCAATTTACCTCTATACTTATCCATCCAAACACCAAACAGCCCACATGTTCTGTTACTTTCCTCCCTGAAGAGGGAACCTTGTTGAAAATTATGTCATTTCATCATAAACACCACAAAAGCCCATAAGTAATGCTCAAGGTAATCTTCTTCTTCGTCTTCTTGGGGCAGTGGTCCTATTGGGCCGCATAGTTTATCAATTCTATAATTGATGTGAAATTTTGATTGCTTATATCACACTAGGTGAACACCTTGGTTAAAGTCTTTCACAAATGTGCAATCGATCGAAATATGTTACGTGTTCTCAGCATTTTGATACATGAGATCCAAAAAGGATTGATCCCATTCTTTAAACACCACCACCATTTAGCAAGGAGAGCAAGATTTGCAGAGTCAAGACAACCAATACCAAGCCCGCCCTTGCACTTTGGTTTAATAACTACATCCCACGCAACCCAATTTATTATTCTTTTTTCCTCATCACCTCCCCATAAGAACCTTCTTCTAATACTATCAAGTAAGGATATAATCTTTTTAGGAGCTCTAAATAATGAAAAATAATAAAAGGGAGGCTATTAAGCACCAAACTCACAAGTGCGAGACAACCCCCAAATGAAGGCGATTTATGTAACGCCCCATTTATGGTATGAGATTTAAATAAAAGTAATTTTCATTTCTTAAGGGGTACTCGACAAGTCAGTAGCCCAACTCGTCTAGTAGAGTCGGGATTTGCATGCGGTTCAAGTTGGCTACTTGATGAGTCCATATTCTGGGACTCGGCGAGTCTGCCTGTCTGGATAAAACCCTAATTTCAAGGGTTTGCACCCTATTTAAACTTCATTATCGCCCCAAGCCAACCCCCTTCACTCCCCAGAGACCTATTCCCGAAACCCTAGCCTCCTTGAAGTGTGTGTGAGTGATTTTGCCTTGTGAAGGAACTTTTGGTGTATTTTGGAGCAAGAAGAAGAAGGAGAAGGTTGAAGAGCTCAAGGAAGAAGAAGTAGATCCATAATACACTCCTCTTTCGTCATCCCTTCTGGTAATAAAGTTTCCATCTTGTTTATTGCGCTAATAGATCTAGTTTGTCCCCAAATTGTTGGTTTTAAGCTCAAAAACCCCAAATCCTTTGTGATAAAGCCTTATGGTCGAGTCATATCTCAGATCTAGCCTCTCATGAGCTCCAGAAGCTCAAGGAGATCACCTTTTTGGCAGCCATGGCTTTGTTTTGGCTTATTAACCCCATAATAGTAAAGTTTGAGTGTTATTGCTTCATTGCATCTTGGTTACACGTAAAGTTAGCAACTTTACGTGTTCAGATAGTCCCAGGAGCTTATATCTACGAGTTGGATACACTAGAATGGATTAGAATCGACTGTATGGAATCGACATGCTTGGGACTCGACGAGTTGTTCTTCAAACTCGACGAGTCGAGTTGCGAGTCCCCGGTTTTTCCCCAATTTGAGAGTTTAAGTTGAATCAGTGAGTAGGAATGGACTCAGTGAGTTAGAGTTCAGATCTAGTGATGGAGGGACTCGACGAGTCTACGACCTGACTCGGTGAGTCCGGTCAGCTGAAAGTTGACTTTGACTAGGGGTAAAATAGTCATTTTACCATGAGGATAGTTATCGGTGCCTGATCTAGTGTTATTGGGATTTATAGCCGGAGAATTCCGGAGCAGCAGTCAGCCAGTTTCAGACTTAGCATCTTAACAGTCAGCATTACGAGGTGAGTCCTCTTCCAGTAGGAACGGGTTTACGACCACAACGTCGGCCCGTTTTGATAGCAGTAGTATGTATGCTTGATGTCTTTGTGATTCAAGCATGTGTTGTTATGTGTAGTATGTCGGGCAAGCCGATACAATATGTGATTATGCTAAATGTTCTTGATATGTTATATCCAGTTCATTCCGGACTTCGGTTCGATGTCGGGCGGGGCCCGATGCAGTGGGTGGGGCCCAAGTTATTCCGGATTTTGGTCTGATGTCGGGCAGGGCCCGATGCAGTGGGCGGGGCCCAGTAATTGTTGTATGTGCTTATTATGTTGATGTATGGTATGTGGTAGTCTGGGCAGCTCACTAAGCTTTGTGTTTACAGTTTCAGTTTTGGTTTCAGGTACCTCCGCTAGCAAGGAGAAGAGCTCAGGTTGATGGCATGGCACACACCATAGCTGCAGTTTTATCCTGGAAGTTTTATTCAGATATTTTGATATGATATTGACTTCAGTTTTTAATTGATACATTTACTATGACATTTTGAGACATAAGATTCGTGGTTTTATTATATAACATTTGATATTATGGTTTTTAGTAATATTAAAACAAAAATTTTGGGGTTGTAAATTTTTGATGTTACAATTTAGAAAGACGGGCTCTAAATTTTTGAATCACCGGGGTCCAATTTTTTGAAAGCTTCATGTTCGCACAACCGGTAAACCGAGACATGTGAAAGGAAAGGAGGCAGATTCACATTTTAAAATACTCGCAAGTATATCTCCAAGTTACTAACCCCGACACCATACACATTACTTTTATGCAAATTGACTTTTAAACCCGAAGCTAGAAAGAAACAATGAAGTAAACTATTGAGATTCACAAAATTGACCTCCGACGATTCGCCTATAAAATAACATCATTAGCATACATAAGATGAGAGATAGAAATACCATTGTGGGGAAGTTGAAGACCTCGAAAGTAATGAAGATCACAAGCCTCTTTCATGGAGATATGAAGACGCTCCATAGCGATAATAAAGAGCAACGGGGATAACAGATCCCCTTGCCTAACGCCCATTTTGATATCAAAATCTTTAGTAGGAGATATGTTGACAAGCATTGAGGCTCTACTAGAGGAGAGACACCCTTTAATCCATCATCTCCATTTCCACCCAAACTCCATTTGATCCATAATAGAATCTAAGAATTCCCAACTCAAGGAGTCAAAAGCAAATCAACCTTGAAGATCAAAGTCTTTTTTTTTTTTTTTTTTTTTTTTTTTTTTTTTTTGCCTTTTTTGATCACAAAAAAAATCTCATTAAGCAAAAAAGGACCATCTAAAATACTTCTTCTCAACATATGTTGTTTGTTTGGGGCTAATAATTTTATCCAACACCTTTTTTAGATAGATCGAAAGAACTTTTGAGAACACCTTGTATACAAGACAACCCATAAGATTTACCGTCTATAATCTTTCAAAGAGAGAGGGTCCTTTATCTTAGGTATTAAAGAAATAAATGAAGAATTGCACCCATTAGCTAGAAACCATAGCTTTCAAAGTCCTTAACAAACATGAAAATATAAGTTGAAATTAAATCCCAATAATGCTTTAAAATTTTAAACGTGAACCCATCGGGACGCGACGCTTTCTCATTACCACAACACCAAATAGCTTCCTTGATCTTGATTTTTGAAAAGGGCTTCACAAGGCAATCTCTATCTGATTCGGATAACTTTTTGAATTCGAACTCACGAGTTTTGGTCTATTATACTATGGTTTGCTGAATTTACATTAGAAGAATCTCCATACCTCATCAACAATTTTCGAGGGTTCATTAACCCAGTGCCCATCAATGGTGAGACAATGTATGAGATTCTTTCTCATGTTAGTTATTTACCACCCCATGAAAGAATTTTGTATTTTCATCGCGTCTACGTTCCATCTAACTTTAGACTTTCGCTTTATATCCAAACGACGAATTGAGTCCAATTCCAACACCCTTTTTCTCCACTGCATTCTCGAGGCCCTCTCTGGATTAGATAAGGGTCTACTTTCTGCAATTATTTCAATCTCATCAATCTTTGATAACAAAGATTTGCATTCTGCCTTTTCCTTAAGTTTTAAGCCGATACGCCAAACTTTAATATCATTTTTAACAGCAATTAATTTTTAATCCTTCCAAGCTTTATGCACAATCGAATCCAAACCGTCCAAAGATAACCAGGTGTTCAAAAATCGAAAAGGAATGGGGCCAAAGTCGTGATAATCATTAACAAAAATAATAGGGCAATGGTCTGAAAATCTTCTTGGTAAAATGGTTGCAGAAGCTAAGCCCCATTTGATCATAAAAACACCACAGGCTAAGAACCAGTCAAGCTTACTGAGACATTTACCATCTCCACTCATCCACGTGATCAATCTTCTTCCACCTAAGCCATATTCAAAAAGATTAGATTCTCTAATAAACAAATTAAAACATGCAATAGATAAAGATACGATATGCATCGAGTTTATACATACTGCGCTAGCTATGAGTTTGTAATTATTGACCAGATATAAAAAAATACGTATCTTATCTCATATATTTAAAGCAGGGACAGAAGATAGGTGTGGCGATGTTCCCGCGTCTCTTCCATGTGCAAATTCAGATCCAGATCAACGATCGTAATGTTGGAGTGACGACTGTGCATCCCTCGTTTTGTAAAGCTACTTGGTGAAGCCTCCATATATATGTTGATCGACTTAAAAATAAAAGAGAATAGAAGATCCAAAAGAGCAGGAACACATTAAACTTTCCTGATGCATCTA